AAATTGTGGTCAATGTCATGAGACAAAGTGTATGTGAACTGCTGTATGGAAAGTGAATTTGCTCTGTAAATCTTCACCCAAATCACAATAAAAAAATTAAAAAAAAGTGATTTATGTGATTTTAGATTATTAGGAAGAAAAAAATGTAAAGAAAGACTTATGGCAGAGTAGCAATAGTTAACATTTGCTTTATTTTCTTCCAGTAAGTTACAAAGGGTGTCACTAACATGATTTAATATCATACATTATGGATTGCCAAAGAATGTTATGGTGGGCCTCCATGTAATGGTGTGTGGAGGGGCAGAAAAAGAGAATTTTGGGAAATTTTGAAAGTGGAAGATGTCCTTACCTCTTTCCCTCGGAGTCCAGTTCCCAACAAGTAAACTTGACTTTCCTCCTGATAACGGATCTGGATGTTGTAAACTTTATCTTTGTACAACACCATGAGGACATACGGATTGGTAATTGTTTTTTTAGAGCTGTCTCTAACCAGAAAAGTGCCATCCTAAAAGGATAAATTCTTGTCATTAAAGGAGCAGTAAAAGTCAATACTTTTGTTGCCTTTAAGAACTTTAGTCAAGCCTCTCAGGATCTGCAAAACCCAGCACTTGACAAGTCAGTGAACACACCGTTCCCCAAACAGCTACAGATCCCAGGTGTTACAGAGTTTTTGGTTGTGAAGAAAGAGGCAGGAGAGATCATATCAGAAAAATTTCCAAGCCAACCCTTTGAAGTCTTTTTGATGAAAAAGGAATCCCTTTTTCAGTATTAAAGCAAATAATAGGTACTTGAGTGTTTAAAGGGTTAGTAGAAATGAGGGCTTTATTGTTTAACTAAAGATATATCTTCCTCTCCCTGTGAGTCCTTTCTTTTCACCTTCCAAATTAGAAAACACCCAGATGCCTAAGATATGTACTCCTTTAACACTTTGTGATCTCTTGATAAAGAATTTCAGCCATCACATTCCTGAACAAAATGGAACATAGACATCTCTGTTCATCACCTTTTTTTCTTGATGGTTACTAAAAGTTTTGTGATTTGTCCTGTACTTTAAGATTTCATTGCTAAATTAGTGTTACATAATATAGTCATACTGTGAGGACCTAATAGTAAATTTGAGTGAGTTTTTAAAGACTTTTTAAGCTACACCCTCCTTCCTATACTATACCAGAATGGCTTTAAATTACCACCAATTTGCAGTAATGGCTTTTTTTTTTTTTATTCCCAGTTAATTGAGCCAGTCAGAATATCTCTGTTAAAGAAACCCTGGACCAGTGATTCTCAACGTTGGCTTAGAATTAGAATCACCTGGGGAGCTTAGAAGATTCTCAAAGCGCCCTGGAAGCTGGTAGCCTAGTGGGTAAGGCATTTGGCTGCTAACCAGAAGATTGGTGGTTTAAACCCACCAGCTGCTCCATGGGAGGAAGATGAAGCAATCTATATCTGTGAAGATTTACAGCCTTGGAACCCTAATGGGGTCATTATGAGTCGGAATCGACTTGATGGCAGTGGGTTTAGTTTGGCAGCACCCTGAACTAATTAAGTCAGAATTTCTCAGGGTGAGACCCAGGTTATCAGGACTTTTTAAAGTACCAAGGTGATTTACATGTGTGGCTAAGATTGAGTGTTGTTGCTGTTAGGTGCAATCAAGTCAGACCCGACTCATAGCGACCCCTCCTTGGGTTTCTGAGGCAGTATCGTGATGGAAGTAGAATGTCCAACCTTCCTTCCAAAGGGTGGCTAGTGGGTTTGAACCACCAGCCTTCTGGTTAGCAGTCAAGTGCCTTAGGTACTACACTGCCAGAGCTCTATAAACATTAGATATAATTTCAGCCCCATGTACTTTTGGAGCAAAAGATCTTCCCTGCTTTGATAAACAGATTTAAGAGTTCAGCACAAAAATAAAAAACCAAACCCACTGCTATCACATTGATTCTGATTCATAACAACCCTATAGGTCAGAGTAGAATTGCTCCAAAGACTTTCCAAGACTGTAAATCTTTATGGAAGCAGACTGCCTCATCTTCTCCCATGGAGTGGCCAGTGGGTTCAAACCACCAACCTTTTAGTTAGCAGCTCAATGCTTTAACCACTGCACTACTAGAGCTCCTCAGAGTTCAGCACAGAGCCACTGAAAATCTGGTTAAAACCACATGATGTTAAGGGACAGCTAGAAATTTCCAAGGAAAGGGGCTAATTTTGCTATTTGTCTCCACATGGGGCCTTCACATCTATGTGGATGGCAAGGATGTGGTAAGGGGAAAATGGACCTGGCAAGATACTAAATAGATGGGACGAAGTCAATCTCCTTTTGGCATGGCCTGATTCCTTTGACAACATGGGCCACTTTCGTTAATGCAATCTAAGATGTTGTTGTTGTTGTTAGGTGCCGTTGAGTCAGCTCCAACTCATAGTGACCCTATGTACAACAGAACAAAACACTGCCCAGTCCTATGCCAGCCTCATGATCCTTGCTATATCTGAACCCATCGTTGCAGTCACTGTGTCAATATATCTCATTGAGGACCTTTCCCTTTTTCATTGACCCTCCACTTTACTAAGCATGATATCCTTCTCCAGGGAATGGTCCCTTCTGACAATACCACCAAAGTAGGTCAAAGTCTGGCCATTCTCACTTTCAAGGAGCATTCCAGATGCACTTCTTCCAGGATAGATCTGTTAGTTGTTTAGCAGTCCATGGTCAATCTAAGATGATGCCAACCAAATGATTCTGCTTTAATTTGGATTTCTTTCCAGGGTCCTAGGAGTCATTGCTGTTGGGACTGACAGGTGTGAGGTTGTCACAGATGGGTCTCATAGGAATAATAGTATGAGCAGCACCTAGCAGAATTCCTAGCCAGTAATTGGTACTCAATAAGTTAGTTCCCCTCTCTTCCCTCAATTAATATTTATACCTACTTAAAAATAAATTTTAGTAGAGTACCTGGTTTATCTTTCTAAGAGCAGCTTCTGCCTCTGGTCGGGTAATATAAGAAACGTACCATTCTTCATTTAATGAATTCTGAAAATGTAAATTTTTAAAAATGAAATGAATTTTGCAGTTACTTAAATAAGTGAAAAGAACAGCCTCCAAGTAATAATTTACATTAATCACCACCTCAATTCCATGAGATTTGAAACATTTGTTTTCTTAATTTGAATATAGGATCATTTAAAAACAGTTGCCAATTCTGATTCATGGCAACCACGTGTGTCAAAGCAGAACTGTACTTCACAGAGTTTTCAGTGGCTGTTTTTTCAGAAATGGATCACAGGGCCTTTCTTCTGAGCTGCCTCTGGGTAGACTCAAACTCCAAACTCTCAGTTAACAGCTGTGCATGCTAACCTTTTGCACCACCAGGGACTCCATAGAATCATGTAGGTAGAGCTCAGTAGGATGTATTTTGTGTGAATTGCTTTTAATCATGACACTCTGCAAAGGTAGCCATTAATAAGCATCCCTTGCTCTGGTGGCATAGTGCCTAAGGCATTTGTCTGCTAATTAGAAAGCTGGCAGTTCAAACCCACCAAGCTACTCCTTGGAAGGAAAATTGGGCAGTCTACTTTTGTAGAGATACCACCTCAGGAACCCAAGTAGGGGTCGCTAGGAGTGGAATTGACTTGAAGGCATTGAGGTGGTTTTTTTTTCTTTTTTAAAATATATAATGGCACTTGGGTCTCTGGAAGGTGCAAACAGTTAAGTGCTTGGCTACTGTGGTAGTTCAGTTTGTGTGTCAACTTGGCTGGGCTTGGTTGAATGGCTAGGCAGATGGATGTAGTATTCCCCATGATGAGACTGGTAATCAACTCCATGGTGGAATCTACTATGAGCAGCTGAGTAAGCTGCCTTAGGGAATGTGGTCTGCTTTAGGGAATGTGGTCTGCTTCCTGTGTATAAGGAGAAACCTTGAGGATAGGCTCTAGCTTATGGTACGTTTGGACCCCATGTGTAGTCATGTTGTTGTTCAGCAGCCTGCCATGCTCTGCCAACCTAGGGACTTACAATGGACTTGAATTAATGGCCTGCTGTGTGGTTTGGTAACATCTGGACTGTGCCTTTTTACTTGTCAACCTTGGGCTTGGCAGCCTCAGCAGCCAGCAGCCGTCTGAGTGAAGAAAATCCTTTAGCTTCAGTGGGCTGGGAGCAAGAGGCAGAGCTTTCACACAGCCCCTAGAGCTTGGCACATTGAACTCCGACTTAAAGCCTCCAAATTGTAAGAGAATAAACTCCTGTTTGTTCACCCATCCCATTTGTGGTATATTCTTGTCAGAGCGGCACTAGGTAACCAGAACAGCTACTAACCAAAAGGGCTGTGTTTCAGATCTACCCAGAGGCACCTTGCTGGATAGGCCTGGCAATCTACTTCCAAAAGATCACAGCTATTGAAAACCCTACAGAGTACAGTTCTACTCTGAACTGACTAGAGAGAAACTGGTTCATATGATGGTACCACTAATCAGACAAGATATAAAATAATTTCTCCATTTTAGTGCAGTAATAAACTTAAGAAAACTGGGTTAAGCAGTTAAGTGATATATTCAGGGTCAGAGTCTAGGAAATAGATTAAAAGAGAGAGAGAGAAAGGAGCATATTTCCCATTGTTCAATGCAACACACAAACATTTGCCATTGGAAGAGTCTGAAAGAACAGCAAGGGGAAAGGACATACTATTTTTCATCTGAATTCTCCCCTTGAACTTTCTCTTTTTAAAAAAATATTAAGGCTAATAGAAGATAAAAGTACAAAAGTATATTCAATGGGAGTTTCTGATAATTCATTTGCTGGGACAAACACAAAAATAAAACCTTTTAATCTATTACCTCTATTTCCCCAGGAGATGGTGGCCGGGGTTTGTTTGGAATCGGCAAGGGAAAGTTCCTGCCTTCAGCTGTAATTCTCGGAGGTGGTCTGTTACTATGGCCTTTAAAAACATAGAATTTTGAAAGGTAATTTATTGTAAGCTATTTTTTACTTTGGTCACAACACACTTCCTCCCCCACGACTATCCTTGTGATTGTTTGGATAATTAACATTTCCAGAAACCAGGACTTCAAAATTCTGTTTCACTTGCTAAAAACCACTGCTCAGGTTTTTAGCAGGTTATGTAACTGTGCCAGTAAAATTCTGAGAGCAGCACCTCAAGTGTGCACATTGCCTAAGGTTACTAGAGCCACTTGCAGAACAGTCACAGAGACATATTTATGTAAATATCTGAATAAAATTGGAGCCTGATCTTTCATGTATTCCTCTAATATCCAGAACATCCAGAATGGTTTCCCAACTAATACAGTAACAATGCAATAAAAAGTGGTTATTATTTTCTCATTGTTTTTACCACAAGAAATGTAAGTTACGCCAAGCAAGGTGAAACTACCTTCTGACAATTTTAGCTTTTAGAACTAAAGTTTGCTACCATCAAATTTTCTAAAGAAGCTGAGCTGTTAACCTCATATGGAAGGAAGTTCAAGTTATCTGATCACTCAGGAATTCCTCACTGGGAACCTATCAGTTACCTGGCACTTGTGTCTCATCTCCCCTCAAACTTTCTTATTTCCAGTTCCCTGAAACTTTCTAAGAAAAGTGTTTCCTAATCTCAGAAAAGATTTGAGTATGTTGACTTATAATTGCCAACAGTGCTTTCTATGTACCAGACAACTGTTAAAGATGGAAGACTGAATGGTCTCTTAACCACTCACTCAGAATTCCTTCATCCATTCAACAATCATTTATTCAGAACTGCTATGCTCTGGTGGTGTAGTGCCTAAGGCATTTGACTGATAACCAGAAGGCTGGTGGTTCAAACCCACTAGCCACTCCTCGGAAGGAAGATTGGGCAATCTACTTCCGTAGTGATATTGCCTTGGAAACCCACTATGAGTCAGATTCAACTTGACGGCAGTGAGTTTGGTTTTTGGTTATCCCCAGACTTGAGTAAGGTGCTTTGTCTACTTTATCTTTAATCCTCACAGCAACACTACAAGGTGAGGATTATCTTCATTCTACATAGAAGGAAACTGAGGGTCATAGAGGCTGATCAAATTATGTGCTATTAGTGACAGGGCCAAGGCTTGGATCTATGGATCCTAAACATAGATGAGAATCATTGGGGGACTTGAGTCTCCTGGGGCCCAGGAATTTGCATGTTAGCAAGCACTCCAGGTGGTTCTGCACCAGAGTTGTTGGTATATCTGCAACATGTCATAAGTGGTCAACTGTGTCTACCACCTGCGACTGAGGAAAGGGGAGTTATCTAGGAAGGACTTAAGTTTCCACTTTACCGGGATCATTTAAGATGGAATTTCCCTGTTTCTAAATAAGCATATAAAGCTGACTTGCCAGTACTTTCCTTTTCCAGGTCCCTACTACCCAAGCAGGCCTTTTCTTTGTAGTCCACAGCAGATGCTTTGATAGTGCTTGTTTAATGAATGAAATCTACCAACAGGCAAGTAGAAACACAACCAAGACCTATAATGCATGGGATTTAGAAGTGAGGAATTACTCTCGTTCTGCTTCTTCACCTTCATGCCAACACTGTGAAGTCATGATTTGTGACAGAAAAGCAGTCATTCAAACATACTCACTGTTTTTTTCTTCTAAATTTTATTGATTTTGTTGGTATTGCTGAGAACATACACAGCAAAACACCTACCAGTCCAATAGTTTCTACATGCACAGTTTCTGTAGGTAGTGACATTGACTTAGTCAATGCATTAGTGCAACCATTCTCACCCTCTTTTTCTGAGTTGTTCCTCCTTCATTAATATAAACTCATAGCTCTGAAGGTTCCTATCTAATCTTTTGAGTTGCTGTTGTCCACATGAAACCATATAGATAGTTCTTAAAAGAGCAGAATACTCAAGGCAGATCATTTTTACTAGTTCAGCTCAATTATTGTTCAGTTTTAAAATGACTTCAAGGAATATTTTTGCCTTAAGGTTTAAAGATTATCTCAGCACAACACTTTCAGAGGTTCATCCAGCCTCCATGGATCCAGCTAGTTAAGAGTAGATGAAAATTTGAAATTCTGATCTGCATTTTCCCCCTTTTGGTGAATATTCTTACCAGTGGAGAAGAATGAGTACCAGGTGTTTCAGCAGTCTTGGGGGAAAGAGCTTTAATTTTGATTAATGTAGTATTTCAAATAATGATTAACCAGTTATTTGGATTGATAATACACACCACCAACCCATAAAACCAGGAACTTGCTTTGGGAAATATTGCTGTAAGCAAGGTATCTGGAACTTAGATGCCTACAGGGGTCAGGCAGGCAGCACATATGTGGGTTCACAAAATACAGAGAGTTGTAGGGACCATGGAAAATTTGGGGACTGTGGAAACCATATGAGGAATTCAGGCACTATAGACTCAAATGCTTAGGAAACATTGAAAACTTAAGGATGTCACTGGTAGGATCTCAGACATATATGACATGATATATCCAACTGAATGCAACTGAATGCAATCCTGAAAAATCTTGACCTTGAGCTATAATTCACATTGTTCACTGAAAGGTTGATGGTACGAGTCCACCAAGAGCTACCTTGGAGGAAAGGCCTGGTGATCTACTTCTGAAAAATCAGCCATTGAAAACCCTGTACAGCACATAGTTCTACTCTGACCCACATGGGGTCGCCATGAGTCAAAGTCCAGGCAATGGCAACTTGCTTTTTTGGTTTAGTTTGCTATTTAAAACACATACCAGTTTTTTCTGTGGCTGGACCAAAAGTGAAAAAATATTTACATATGTTATATACGTGTGTGTGTGTGTGTGTGTGTGTATATAGCATCTGTTTGTTTCTCATGTTGTTGTTGTTGTTGTTTGCCGTCAAGTCAGCCCTGACTCATAGCGACCCCTCCTTGGGTTTCCGAGGCAGTATCACTACGGAAGTAGGATTGCCCAACCTTCCTTCCGAGG